CTGATAGTGTAGGCTTCCCTGTAGACAAGGCCTTTGGTGTACTTGCGGTGTGTTTCAGAGCTCTTTGCAGCTTTTCCTTGTTTGTCAGCTGAGGGTGCAGCAGGGTCAAAACCAAAGGAGCAGAATCTAGGGGAGGGTGCAAAGATGTATTCTTTCATTCCAGGGCGTTTGTGGTAGGGTCTGGATTGGAACATTTTGGTCAGTATATTGGTTTCACTTCCATGCATCTAGTAGCATCGCAGATGACCAACACAGCTTTGTATGGGTCAGGGGTGTGTGGTGGAGTTCCCTTATATCCCTTGGGGCGGTTCAATCCTGGAACCCATCTGTAGGCAAGACCGATCAAAGGGGCTTCTGGTTTCCTTGGGAATTGGCTGATCCAGATGTAGTCTGTGATGATCCTGCTATGGAGGAGCTCCATGTCAGTATGTCGATTGGACATGGGGAAGAATCCCAAGGTTTCTTCAGACTCGGCTCCTTGAATGGTGGTTGGGTAAGCAGTCATCTTCTTTCCTTTGAACCAGTCCTCATGTGTTCCTTGGTAGGATGGGAAGTTATCATCTTCAGTTTCATATCCCCAATACATGTAGAAGTAGACATCCTTGTTGTACTTAGCGGTGCCTGGACAGTGAATGTATTCAGCACATTTGATCCATTCGTTGTGTTTGGGGAGAATTTCGGGACTCTTGAGAATCTTGGCTGAGGAGGAGGACTTGTAGGGGAGGCACACAAGGGCTGCTTCTTCAGTTAGCATTCGTTCCCATACTTCAACAACAGAATCCCACAGATACTTCTTGGCAGAAGTGTCTTTGTCCATATCTTCTTTCTTGGGGATGTGTAGTTTGTACATCATGCGCTTGGTGTTTGAGCAGGGGTTCTCCTCTAGCATCATCATGGCAAGGGCATTCTTTCTTTCTTGAACTTTCTTTTGTAGGGCCTTTTTCTTCTTGCGCTTTGAATGGTATTGCTGCCATTCCTCTTCCTCATTGTTATCAGGATCACCATCATCATCGTCGCTGTCAATGGCCATCTCCTCAGAGTCATCACGTGAAGATCCATCATCATCAGGAATGTCTTCAATGTTAATAGTGCCTTCTTTCCTGGTTTCCTTTCTGGCCTTTTGTTTGTCGGCAGGAGTGATTTGGTTGGCGGTGGTGGTAGATTTTCCCTTGGGCGTGGTGTCTGATTTGTCAGGTTCTTTGGCTGACTTGCCAGTGTGTCCTGTGTCATTGAGCCTGGAGGTATCCATCTGTTTTGGTGGATTCTTGAGAATTCCTGTCTTGGGTGCCTGTCTTGTAGGTTCCTTTGGTTGCGGTGGGATTTGGGATTCCTTGTCATTAATCTTCTTCCAGGCATTAAACACCACTGATGGGCTGGTGGCATGAGGGATTGGGGTGAAGTAATCAATCAATGTTGTCTTGCCTTTCTTCTGGTTTGTTCTTGGTGCTGAGAAGTAGGATCCAAGTGTCATTTGAGCATTGAACCATACTTTCACTTGGATTTGTGGGTTATTTGCAATCTTCAATGTGGTACTAAAGAGGGTGGGTTTAGTAGCAGCCAGCCTGAGGAAGTCTATGATCATGGCCTTGGGGGTCCTAGCGGTGTAAAGGGGAAGGTCTGATCCTTCAACTTGGACATTGACTAGCGCAAGAAGAAATTTGTAGACAGTGCCAAAGGATTGGTTCTGATTGTCTTCAGCAGCTGCAGTGGATACTTCAGGGGATTGGGCTTCAAAGCACAGGGCATTCCTATGTAACCTCTTGGCCACAGGGAGCAGTTCTTGCTTTGACAGTGGGGCTTTGGCTAAAGATAGTTCTGCCTTGCTCAGTTTGAAGATGGAGTATGAGGTGATCTGGAAGACTTTGTCTAGTGGGATGGACTTGTCATATTCAGATAATGCATCATTGGAGAACTCTTCTAATTCAAAGGTGTTGGTAAAGAGTGTTCTGCCTTTCTTGGGGTCTCTAGTTGGGGTTGTTCCTGTGGGAGGTCCTCTACTACCTCTCTTGGAGGATGATGGGGTAGATGACATCTTGGAGTTCAGAGGGTCTTGGAGTTAACTGGAACTATAGGTTGTGAAGACATTGAGAGGGTCAAGTATCAGCAGCCTTGGACGCCTACAGGGGCCTGAATCTTGGACACCAACAGGGGCCTGAACCTTGAACACCAACAGGGGCCTGATTGCTGCTGCACACCAATATAGATCAAGGTGGTACACTTGGTCAATGACTTGAAGGGGCTTGGGGGTTGGTCTCAAAGATAAGGGCAAGAGACTTAGGGGAATGTTCCAGAGATATAAGGGGATGAAGACTTAGAGGAAGTGTTTCGGAGATATAAGGGACAGAAGACTTAGGGGAAGTGTTTCGAAGATATAAGGGACAGGAGATTTAGAAGGGATGTTTCGAAGATTTAGGAGGTTGACTGTTGGTTGGGTTGTTTGTGCAAGAGTTTGATGCTTGCCCGATTGTAATAGGATTTCAATGGGGGAGAGCTCCAAGGTCTTGAAGGGGCTTGGGGGTTATTCTCAAAGATAAGGGCAAAAGACTTAGGGGGAATGTTCCAGAGATATAAGGGGATGAAGACTTAGAGGAAGTGTTTGGGAGATATAAGGGACAGAAGAATTAGGGGAAGTGTTTCGAAGATATAAGGGACAGGAGATTTAGAAGGGATGTTTCGAAGATTTAGGAGGTTGGCTGTTGGTTGGATTGTTGGTTCGAGAAATTGATGCTTGCCCGATTGTGGTAGGATTGCAATGAGGGAGAGCTCCAATTTCTTGACGATGCAATTCAACAGCCGGTTGGTGGTCTCGGTCGTCTTGTGTTGCCTTTCGAGAGACTCGTTGTTGCTGTGAGATCCAGTTCCTGACCCGTTTCTATGGTAATAAGCAGGGGTTGGGGACTGATTCTCGTAGCGACAAGTGGTGTCTTGATGGGGAGTAGTAGACAGTTGGTTGGTTGGTCGGTTGGTGTTGGTGGTGGGTGTGGGTGTGATTGCGATTTTCGAAGATTGGTCGCGTGTAGAAACTGTACCAGGTTCTACGTGAAATGACCGGTATCTTCTGTGGCAGCAATCACTTGATCGGCCGTTCGGCCCCGTAGAGGACTTTCCGCTGTTGCTGAGAGGCTCCAATGGGACCGGCAGTGTTAATAAGCTTGTTGTTCTTGTCTGTTTGATGTTTTGAGCTACTGATGATAGTATATCGGGTCGGCCGATGGCCATGGTCGATCTTTTTCGATCGATTGGTTTATGAGGTTTTCTTTGGTTGTGATTATTTTTTCGTAGGTTTCTACACGATTTGAGTACTGGGTCATAATAAAAGTCTTTTCGATAAAGCCAACGCTGGAATTATGTGTTTGAAGTACTAGCTACCAGTAGTACCCAACAATGCGTTACACTCCAACCTCATCAATAAGATAACTCTATTCTTAGTCCAGTACTGGAGGTATCTTAACCTATTCAGCTACAGCAACACTGCGTTATTATCTTACAAGCAGCCCAATCTCAGTATCTTTCATATCTTATGGCCACTACCTGGTAGAAGCTTTTATTACATATCCTGCTACTAACCATGCCCTGAGACAGTGAGGAGCCACCACCAAAGCTCAAAAAGGCAAAGGTGCAAAGCTAAAATTGATGAAACCAAAGATTTCGTGGTCGGGAGGCACCCAAAGATGCGGATATGGAGTACTTGGATGTAGATGGTGATGTGGTAGATAGTGGGTACTAGCTGCATTCAATCCCCGCATAGTCTTAGTATTAGCTTAGGATTTGAGACCTCAGTACTCGTAGCTTATCTTACTGGTTTGGGAAATCTGAGTGTCCGGGTTATCTAAACATTTCGAAAAAGTGGAGTACTCGGTATCTTAAACCCACTTATCTTAAGTGTGAGTGAGGAGTGTACCCCTTGATTGGCTCGAAGGTTCGTGGTTCGAGGTTCGGTTGGACTGAGGACTCCACCAAGATGGCGAATACCGTTGAGGGGCTGGCTAGCTAGCTACCGGCAGAACGCACATAATTCTTGAGGCTATCAAGAATAGACCAAGGAACATCAGTCGTCATTGCCAACAAATCCCACAAGGCACAAGGAACAGAAAAAGGAAAGGTCGAGTAAGAAGCGGTTTCTAGCTATTTGTCGTCCGAAGAAACCCCCATCAAGAAAAAGGCACGAACTGGCTGCCCAGCCAATGGGCGCTTTCGTACTTATTGGCATGTACACAGATAGATTGAACCAACATTGTCGAAATCTCGCCTTGGTGGAGCTCCCGAGGACCAAGGACGAGGACGATGTGGCGCCTGATACCTGGTACATGGCTCTTCCGCTGGGAGTCGAGTGACGAGTGACCGACCCTCAGTCGGCGGGACCTTGGTGTGCATGTGTGAATGCAGAGACTGTCAAGAGACCTCCTAATGAAAGCGGGCCGTTTCTATGAGTAATAATATCAGCCCACTAGTCTAGAGCTAGTACGGTACTCCAGTATGTGGGGGCACTCTAGCTTCCAGTACGGCAGTACGGTATGGGTACAAAACCCGGGTCCTGAAATCCGAGGAATTAAAGCAGAGCTAAAGAAGCTTATCGCCGGCTACCGGTAGCCATACATCCAGCAAAACTGGGAAGCAAGGATTTAATATCATGTCCCAGCAAAAGTGATCCAGTATCATAAAGAACAGAACGATCCGAAAAGACAATAGGTCGTTCCAATGGCTGGTTTAGCAGAAGCACAGGACACACGACACACGACACACGACACACGACCACCGCGGCTGGAATCATTCGAATCACAGAGATCTTCCATCATTCTCAAGGCCTGAAGACGAAGCAGACTTCGTCGACACCTTTCAATCCAATTCCATTGTTTCCGTTTCCTTTGTAGAAGAAAGGCATTTGATACTCTTTGTCATCTCGGCTGCTGCATCAAAGCGTGAGGCGGATTGCTTCAAGAAGTGTTTTTTTTAAAGTTAGCGGGTATCTTGTTTGTGGCTATCTTTTCCCGAATCGAATCCATCACCATCTCCTGCTACTTAAGATATCAAGATATCTCCTAGTATCCTCTACCAAGATCATATAGATAACCATGCCAAAGGAGGGCAAGAATACGATGCAGGGCATTAAAGCCTTTGTCCCTGTGGCTGACAATCCCACTGAAGCTTCTACTCGAGAGCTGGCTGGAAGGGTATCTTCCATTTTGAGTCCGGATTCACTGACATCTCTCAAGAATCGAAGAGCGACATCCGTGGGAAATACCGCCACGGACAGCGGCAGCAGTCGATTTTCCACCGCTGGCGGCAGCACACGAATTGGCTTAAGCCACAGCCAGCACAATGCTAACAGCACCAAGAATTTTGCGGCCGAAATCAAGACAACGGATGTCCTGGCAGAGGAAGTATCGAACATTTTGGGTTCCACAGTTCTGGGGGCTTTTCATAAGAGCTCCTCCACAAACGACAATAAACAGCCACCGGAATCTGGAAAGAAAAAAACAAAAGATAGTGGTGGTAATGGCAAAAAGCCTTCGAAACAAAGATCCAAGTCTCCCATCAGAAAATCAGGCGAGACGCTCTCCTACGACGACGTGGATATCGACGAGGAATCCGACGATTACGACGAAGGAGGAGTATCCGACACCAACAGCGATCGAAAAAGCAGGTCGCGTCGTCAGGGAGAAAAAGACAAACACAAACCAAGAGCTCGTTCGTCGGGAGCCGTGGTCCGCGGCAGCAGCAAAAGGAGTACATCCCCATGTCGGCGTGCCAAAAGCACCGACGGTGGAGTCAAACCAACGAGAAAAGGCAAAAAGGATGCCAGCAGCAAGCGAGAACTGCACGAAAAAGAATTTGCCAATCATGCTGATAATGTCGGCATTGATTTGGAAGATGGATTGGACGAATTCGAACATGAATTGGAAGAGTCTGCAGGATCCTCCCAAGACGAAGCAGATCGCGGTAAAAATCGAAGTGATCGACCTCAGCGACAACGATCAAACACAGGTCGTGTAAGACAGAATCGCCGTGCTCAGTCAGGAGGAAGAGGGGAGGCAGGCGGAAGAGGTCGAGGACGTGGTGGACGAAGAGGCCGCGGAGGTCGTCGAGGTCCAAGACAACGCGGCAATATTCAGGCCGCGCAATTGGCTCAGATGGCCACGAGCGACCACAAACGATTCCGTGAAGAAGATTATGTGCAATATGAACCCGAATCAGAATCGGAGGAAGAAGAAACGCAACAAGAACAAGAGAAAAAGACTGATAAGGATGGCACAGGCTTGGGATTTGCATTAGTTGATGGAGCAGAATTCGTCTCAGACATCACGGAAGGAGCTGCGGCTGCTGCCAGCATGGCGGTTGGGGGCGCATCGGAGGCTGCAGGGGCCGTGTTGAACGTGGCTGCTACGGCCGGAGATACGTTGCTGGATGTCGGAGGTCTGGTTGGTGGCACCGTTTTTGGTGCTTTGAATACAGCAGCTGCTACTGTAGGCGAAAGGGCGCAGAGGGTGGTCGGGGGAGAGTCTGAATACGACGACTTTGATGCGACCGACTCTGAAGAAGAGCAGGGTCCAGAGAAAAAGACTGACAGTGGAAAACAGGCGTCCTGGGGTTTCATACAAGGTGGCGTTGCAGGCCCTTCCGTGTGATCCATGCCCAGCAACCAGCCAGAGCTTTTTGTTGCGTCTAGCGTGTAATAGAAACGATATTCGTTTTCGTGGCTTCTAGCTAGTGTTAAAGTTGTTTTTTAAAATGCTATGGTACCAGTTATAACACTAACGTAGCCTGTTCAGGTCTTCAAGACAATCGTCGAGCTACGCTCAGTTACAAAAAACTGGCATAAAAATAAAATATCTGACTAAGATTTTAGCCTGAAAGCCAACGTTAACAATTCGTTGACATCAATTGATTACAAAGTTTGTCGTATTCTTCCTTTTGGTAACAAGCGACCTAGAGCTGATCCGGCGATCTGTTGTGCGGGTCAGGCTCGTCGTCGGCGTCCCACAAATCCAAGTTCTGGTTGTCGCTGTCGTTCAAATCCTCCATTATCAGACCAGCCTGGGAATCCTCGTTTGCCGCGTATGAGTGTTTTTTATTCTTTTTTCGAAATCCAAGCACCCCCTTGACCGCCTTACCAGCAGCTTTGGCCCCAGAAGTTGCAGCCTTTCCGGCAGCTTTGGCCCCGGATTGAGCGGCCTTGCCAGCCACCTTGGCACTGGATTTGGCCACCGTCGACGCGGCACTGGCACTTGTCTTGGCCACCGCCTTCACGGCGGCCTTCCCTATGGATCGCATGTGGTTCTTATGATGATCTGAGCTAGAAATTCCCATTTCCACTTCAGCTTCGGTCAACTCGCCTTCTGTCTCGTGTGCTTCTTCTACCTCACTCAGCTGCCTGATTTCCTCTGACGGTTCTCCGTTTTCGTCCGTCATCAAAACCATGTTTACTAGTTGCGATTGACGAACATTGACACGTCCTCGTTGATTCGTCCGTCCTCCACGTCTGGGTGCAACAGTGGGAGAGTTTGCCTGTGGAGCGTTGGCCGCGGAACGACGCCCATCTAGTCTGGAAGAGGCACCGGTGGATTCCACGGCCAAACCTCTGCGAGATCGTGGCTGTCGCGAGGAACCTCCTCGATGCCATGTCGTTTCCAGATTGCTTCCGCCGCCGCTGCTGCCGCCACCACGCTGCCATGTCGTTTCCAGATTGCTTCCTCCGCCGCGCTGCCATGTCGTCTCGGCCGTGCTTCCACCACCACGCTGCCATGTCGTCTCGGCCACGTCGTCATCATCTTGTCTCTCATCGGGAGGAGCAGCGTCTTTGGGAGCTCGCTTGACTCGTCTCCTGCTTGGTTTACTAGAACGTGCAGTACCATGATCCGAAGAAGGAGCGACATCTTTGGGCCCCTTGAGCGAAGAAGGATCATCGTCCTCATCCTTGCTGTGGCTGGGTGGGGGGATGTACGTGTCCTTGCTTCGTATCACGCGTTGTCGTCGTGCTCTTCGAGCTTCGGCATCATCGCTGCGTCTTCGATTACTACTTGAAGTTCCACCACTAGTGCGACGACCCTCCTTGTCCCTGGTGCTCCTATCGGACATTTTTCGGTGTCTCCTGCTGCCATCCGACATGCGACGGTTGTCTCGATCTCGTCGAGCGCTGTCATCGGACATTCTCCGAGTGCCGTCTCTTCGATTGTTCCGGCTGTCCGACATTCTCCGGTCGCTGCCATCTACCATTTTGGATTCTGGCTCGGCAAATCGAACGCTGCCTTCGAGGCTGTTCTTGGAATCATCGTGCAACGACTGTGTGGATTCTCGTTTTTTGCGACTGCCTCTTTTTTGCCGCGTGCTTTCATCTTCCATACCAGCCTTGGTTCGACTGGGTCGACTGCTGCGTTTGCTGGGTCGCCGTTGTTGTCCCAGTACATCATCTGGATCGCTGTCCGACAAGTCTTGTGCATCAATTGTATTTTGACTGGAGGAGGGTTGTCTCGCTTTTCCAGGGCGAGATTTGGAGTCTCGTTTGGGAGATCTGGTTCGCGATTTGACGCTGACTGCCGAGGCATCGAGACTGTGATGAGATCCTCCTTTTCCACCATCAGACGCGTCCAATATTTTTCTGCGGCGGCTGCTGCTGTCCATATTCGCAGAAGTCCGATCGCTGCGTTGTTTGGATGATCTGGAAGAATCCTCCAATGTTTTTTCTCGTCGTCGTGGCCGCGGCTGTTCTTTTTGTTCGAGCACATCATCCGGATCACTGTCTTCGGATAGAACTACTCCTTCGGCATCCACAATATTACTCTGACTGGTGGAGGGTTGTCTTTTACCACGAGATTTGGAGTCTCGTTTGGTAGACCGGGGTTTGCGCTGTTGTTGTTGTGGTTCGAGCACATCCTCCTTCTCATCGTCGTCATCGTCAAGATCGGGATCACTCTCGGACAACATGTCAATCATGTCTCGACTGGAGCCCCTTCTTCGTCGACCTCTCGTTTTGGAGTCTCGAGGTCGACGGCTGCTGCTGGGTCGGCTTTCCCGTTTTTTGCTGCTGCGACTTGCCGCACTGAGGGAGCTGGCATTCGATTCATCCATACTCCGATCACTCTTTCTATTTCTGGATTCCTCCATGGCCTTGTCTCGCTCCAATTTGCGTCGCATTTTGGACTCGTCCATGGCTTTGCTGCCGTCGCCTCGTCGGGATCTGGATTCATCCATGGTGGATCGACTGCTACTCTTCTTGCTGTGACTACTATCTCTATTAGTACTAGACCTCACTCGTCTACCGCTATTGCCGGTGGTATGACTCCGTTGCAGCGGTGGATTCGATCCAATCGCATCCACAGCAAGCTCACGGCTGCTAGTACTGACCTTGCCCTTTTTGGTGCGAGAGAGAGGACTGTTGTTGTTTTCGAGGAGACCAAGTTTGGGTTTGCGACTGCGCGGAGAGATGCTCCCTCCCGTGACGTTGCTGCTATTGTTCTTCCTGCTGGGACTCTTGCTAATCTCCCTACGCCGGCGGAGGAGCCCTGCCCCATCAAGGGTGGGAGACGAAGCCGAGAGCTTCTCGTCGTCAAAGTCGGTTTTGCTATTGTTGTTGCTGTTGTTCGATTGTTGTTGTTGGAGGCGGTCGATGCTGCTGGTAGAGGAGTGAGCTAGATCTTCAAGGGGCTTTAATGACGACACGGAAACGCAAAAGTCATCGTCCGCCAGCCCAGGAGCGTTGACCACAATTCCACTTTGCGAATTCATCAAAGCAAGAGAGGAGCTGCTAAAAAGTAGCTACCAGCTAGCAGCTAGAGATGCTATGGCCAACCACTGCGAAACCCTTTGCCAGGGTTGTCTCAAGCGATAGACAAGCCTTCCAACAAGATATTGTGGAAGCTTCCTTCCCTTTGCACAGTGCACAGCAGTCACTCAGAGCTCAGCCACTTGACTCTTTTTGTAATAGTAGAGCACTCCAGGAGTATGAATGATGGCAACGGCCGAGCTGTGGCCGTAACAGAAGGTGTGTGCAAAAGGCGAGGTGATCAAAGAGTCACCGTGAAGGGTCCGTTGCAGGCATCTATAGATTTATGAACATCACCCTTCTCTTTCTATTGTTTGGATTTATTTGTCTTGGGGCCAAAATCAGAAAGCTCGGTAGTTAACTCATGAAGGGGAAGGCATTGTTAAATGAGGGGAGGATGGTAGTGACCTTCAAAAATGAATGTTAATAAATCTACTCTCCCCGTTAAGTACCACTTCTGTTTCTTAAAGTACTCTTCGTTGGGCTGTAATCCTTTTCGCCAAACCCACATCATCTCGTGAATCGCTCGAGAATGGTGGTTTACATGTACAGTGCACAGCTACTCCGCAGCTCGAACCAACCATCGATCGATCTGAACTGGTGGAGGGGAAGACGGCTTGAATTGGTTGCTTGAAGCTTGAAGCAACTGTCTTTTGCTGTGTTTGTACGGAAGCGGTTCTACTCGGAGTACTAGACTATCAATAACTCAAGTACCAAAGTGTTTGATATCAGTGGCAACCAATGCCGGAGTTATCGGCTTTTGAATTACATTTGCCTAATGCCTGGCGACTGCTGGTCGCAGGTGGGTTCCGGGATGCATTGGTCTTTAGCACATGTACCTTTTACATCGTGGGCGGTGCAAGGGATGATCGTCGTAATGGCAGCCATGTGGGAAGCCATGTTGCCGTGGCTCCAACTGTACAGTACCGTAGCGGCAACGCTAACTGGAGGTTGAGGTGCGGGCTGGTACCGGTACTGGTGCGGTGGCAATGGTAGTTTCACTCACTGTTTTCGTTTCAAGGATGGTATTCAGTCTGTGACCGTCCAGCCAAGGTGCTATCGGTCATCTCCTCAATCCTCAATGCACCCACATTACCGTAGCTAGTCTAGAGTGAGCTACATGTATGATGCAGTAGACTATAGTGCTATTATCGCTCGGAGCTAGCTTCTGGAAACGCGGAGCATAGTTGGTCCATCACGAGTTGGTAACCTACTAGTACTATTGGCCCAGCCAGAAACACCTCCAGATTCCAGATCCCCAATCTCTGATAGCTGATAGTAGTCTATGCCACAGTACAGTCTGCTCACTCGTACTTTGCTTCGAGCGGATTCGATTCCGGTTGGCACCCAGCGATCCCTACGCGCCGAGCGTCGAGCAAAGCAATCAAGTAGCCAACTCGGGCCCTCGTTTTTACATGATGTAGTCTAATGCATCTATCTACATATTGGATAAAAACAGAGTGGGAGTGACAGTCCTTTCGATCTCGGAGGTTGGCAAAACTAAGCTGCATAGTGGTAGCTACCAGTACTGGTACCAGTCTGGTACCTGGAAGGCCTCTTCATACGACTTTTAGTCCCGGATTCGTTCTAACAGAAATAAAAGTCGCGTGCAAAGTCGCACGCGAGTCGCACGGGAGTCGTATGCGACTTTCTCAAACGACTTTGAAAGTCGTGCCAAATTGGGACAAATAACAAGACAAAGTCGCGTCGGATCGCTGAAAGTCCCGTGTAAAGTCGTATGAAAGTCGCGTGCGAGTCGCATGCAATTTTTCACGCGACTTTCAGCGATCCGACGCGACTTTAAAAATACCACGCATGAAGGGGCCTTCCTGGTACGGTTCGGTACCGGTACAGTCGTACCAGTGCCGACAAAGGGATCTTCAGAAACAGGCCAACAGAGCTGTGGTCCCTTGGGTGTAAAGAAGCCAAAAGATATCGAGCATCCACCCAGGCCGGAAGTTGGTTCCTTCTCCTCGCTTCCATCCACTTCGATTGCCTCTGTCGTGCTGCTTTGCCATACTAGTACTGCTGCAATCCACATCTTTCGACTTGACGCTCACAATCAACACATCATCTTTGAAACTTGTTTCAAACTCCCCATCACATACCATACTAGCAAACATCACCATGACAGAAGAAAAAGACGAGAAAGAAATGACATTTACGGAGCGAGAGCAATGGCTTCGCGATCGTGGGGTGGAAATTGTGAATCCCGGACAAAAGGCCGCAGAGAGCGCCGCTGACGGTGTTCTCTCCATCACACAGCAATTATCCAAACTTGATGTGGACAATGAACCACAAGGACCACAAGCCGACGGATCCGTTCCATTTGTGTTGATTCCCTGCGATGACACAAAACCGCTGCGAACGCTACGAGTACCACCAAAAAGTGGCGGCGGCGGCGATTGGATTCCCGACTACATCAAGCCTCATTTTGCCGATTCCAAATCCATTGACGTTTCCCTCTTGCAACAACAAGCCACCAAACACTTTGCCGGTGGACAACTGGAAGATTTGGCAAAGAATGGCAATCAAATTTCGGCCGCCGCCATGAATGCCGTGGCCGCCGAGGGGTCCGTCGAGACATTTCCACTCGTCCATCCAAGCGTCAGTAACAATTCACAGGGCGTGTACATTTACCTCGACGAAGTGGGATTGTTGAAGAAGTTACCACCCAACCGCCGAGCCACGCAGTTGGCCACGGGATGTGGCTATCATCCACCACCGCAATTTTACGGGGATGTGTTTGTGGGACGCGTTGGATCCAAACCGGTGTTGCGCAATCTGCCCTTTTGTGCGGGGATTGACACGGATCCAGCCGCGCCGTGGTTGTTGGCCGCGCCACAGGAAAATGTTGCCTGGCAACAAGAAATGAATCGAGTCACCAATCGACAAGGTGCCTCGCAACCGGCTCATGCCGGAACGGAAGGGACACAAGTGGAGGAAGACAATTATGCGTGGTCTCAAGAAGACGATGACGTGGAGTTGGTGGTTAGTTTTGACAATGACATTGACAAGAAACAACTCAAAGTCAAGTTTCTCAGCAAGAATATTTCCGTCATTTATCAAGGCAATCCCAAACTGTCATTGAAATTGTATGCTGCGATTGATGTGGATGCCTGCACTTGGACCATTGACGGAGGCAAAAAGCTTGTCATTACGTGTGAAAAGGCAAATCCAGGAGAGCTTTGGCCAAGGGTAAAAGAATAGATACAGTAGACACATGACATTCTTTATTGTGCAAAATATATGTCATCTCACCAGCTAAATACTGCTACTGTCAGCTTTCACTAGATACGGCCGTACTGTGCAGCTTTCCATCCATCTGCCACAAAAGCTAGCTAGCAATCAGAAGTGTTGGATGCTCTTTGGTTGAAGCAACGTGCTTTTGTCAATCAAATATTTATTCATACATGCTGAAACTCAAAAAACTTCTTTGACCAGCTACCTGGTTCGTACGTGTACCCCTATAAGGATCCCGCTGCTCCGGTGTGAAACGGCAGAGCTCGAAGCAATGTCTGTGGAGGGTTTACCACAAGCACAACGACCTGGCCTGAAATCACTAGCTAGATCTACAGAGAGGAGTGAACCGGAAATGGAGCCTGGGTTTTCCGTATCACTTGGAGCCATCGCCCACAAATGCCTCCACAAAACGTACACTACAGGACATGTAGAAACGTCGTTTGAAGCTCGTGGTTGGTTCTGTTGCAATGGTAACCAAGGCACCGGAATGATGAATAAATAAATGGGATTCAATCGCATTTTTGTTTTGTGCGGTGCCATGTGAACTGAGCCATCGCCCAGCGGCATTGTACAATTTGCTCTATAGTAAAGCTTGTTTTGAGCGAGGCTGTGTGTGCATCGCATCTTCGATTTCTCTTTGCCACAAAATTCTACCACCACACAAACCGTTTGCAGCAATGGTCGCCTTTCCTGACTGGACTGTCGGGTCCTTTCTAGAATCGCACATTCCATCATGGTTGCTACCCTTTTGTTGTAACGCAATGGATGCTCGTCCAGTCTCGATCGGCGCCTATTACTATCCATGGTGGGATGATGCCACGAACAAGCATTGGCCCGAGGGGTATCTTCGCGAGAATCTTTCTCCTGTTCATGAACCGTTGTTAGGCCACTACAGTGTTCGCGACACTGCTGTCATTGACCAGCACTTTCAGTGGGCCAAGGACTATGGCATCAACCTATTTGTTGCATCGTGGTGGGGCCGTGATAGTTTCGAGGACATTACCCTTCGCGACTACATGTTTCCATCCTCCAATCTCGGAGACTTGAAGATTGCACTCTTTTACGAAAGCTTTGGCCTCTTGGCGAAAAACTCCAACAACCAGATTGACTTTGATGATACAGCAAACCAACAAAAGCTCATCTCCGACTTGTCCTACATGGCCGAAACCTACTTTGGACACTCCAACTATTTTACAATCCACGACAAAGCGGTCGTCTTCTTTTACGTGACGCGTGTTTACACAGGCAACTACCGGCATGCCTTTGATGCCGCAAAGGCTCATATTCAAAGCAGCTACGATTGTGAACTCTACTTGATTGGCGATGAAGTATGGTGGAGTGATCCCGTGATCGATCGGATCGCTACCTTTGATGCCATTACCGCCTACAATCTACACGGCCCCTCGCGGTACAACGGATACCCCGAGGCCACAGGGTTCATCCAGGAATCAGAATCGCTCTACAAGAACTACCAAGATGTTGCCAAAGATTGCCACGGAAAGAAAGTTGACTTGATTCCAGGTGTCCTGCCAGCTTTTAATGATCGTGGTGTGAGACTCGAAACGGATCACTATGTCATCCCGCATGAAGTTCGAGCCGAACTAGCCGGATCCATGCAATACAGCACATTCTGGGAAAGTCTCGCCATGGCGTATAGAGTGATCCAGTGTCGATCAAATTCCAATAGCAATGATCCCACTGCCATCATCATGGTCACGTCATTTAATGAATGGCATGAAGGTAAGCCAGAGGGCGGTTTCAGTTGACCGCTGCACGGTTGTTTCTCACTGATTTTGCTACAATGACGCATACGGTAAAGACACCAACATTGAGCCTACAAAGGCCACCGCAGCTTCAACGAACGAACCATTCCTCTACACGCAAGGTTACACAGTCGAAGACTATGGCTTCAAGCTATTGGAGCTGATACCCAAGTTCTTGAATGAAGTTGTTGCCGCTGCTACGCATGGCGAAAGCGTATCATAGCGATGCAAGATGGACTGGTCGCTGCATATACACTGCCGCCAAGGCCATACCATCGGGTAGAGATCAAACCAGTGTGGAAGTCCCGGGCCGGGGTTCCTTTTCTGATTTCTTGCCACGAAATCAAGAACTTCCAGTCGTCGCACCTCAACAACCGTTGTTTTCGGCACCAAAAATGAGAAACAAGCTACCGGGTAAGGACGTGAAGTACCACGAGAGGGCAGAATCTCCATCGCTCCCACAACCGAGATTTCCGGAGGTGTGTTGCACAATGAATAATCAGCCACCAGGCATCATTATGGATTTTGATAGGCAAGCTCAATGCCCGTAGATTGAATCATTCAATGCACGAAGCTAATACGATGCCTTCGCTACTTCAGTCCTGGCTGCGAAAGGAAAACATAGCACCCTTGCGACATCATTCGACGCCGCGTACGAAAGTTTCTCCTTGAGAACATGTATTTAGTTTTAGTGTATTTAGTTTAGAAGCAAATTACGAGACGGCTCCTGTCTTTTGAATGCTCCGTCGTGCTTCTTCCGATTGTCAATTTAATTTCTTTTCTTTTCTTTCATGCATGTGTTCGGTTTGTTCTGATGATTCTTGTTCTGCTTGCTTACTGGACATGTTCGATGTAACCTTCAGCAGCCACCAAGATGCTACGGGTGGCAACAACATCAAAGATGCAGTCATCCTTATCCTCCTCCCAGTGAGCACATGCCTTCTCAGCGTCCTGGCGCATGCGCTTGGAGCCCAGACGGTTTCCCAACATCTTCTTGGGAGGAGTGCAAGTGGTGGGATACTGTGGGAAACGGGCTTCCTTAAAGAGCATTGGCTCAGTATCACGAACCTGCCATTCCAAAGCAAAAGCAGTTGCATCATCATCATTTAGTTCAGTCTTTCCATCACGGGCCATTCTACGGCCTGTGCTCCATTCGCCCAACAGTCCCAAACTTCCATAAAAGATAGAGGTGTCACCGCCATCCACAATCACAGCAGGGAATCCATTCGTGCGTGTGTGGAAATCAATCTTCCCAACGTTATGGCCATTTTTGCTGAGACGACTTTGATCATGGAGACGGACACTGATAGCTTTTGGGTCACGCCGAATATTAAATCCAGCCAACTTGGTCTTGTGGTGCTTGCGGTTTGCTTCTACCCTGGCACCATTGATCATAAAGTTATCAACATCATTGGCAAACTCAAGGATATCACTGCCAATCTGAAGAGCAATCCTTTCAATGTAACTGAAGTACTTGATTCGGGTTGTCCTAATGTGGAGCTTCAAGCCCAAGCCATTCAAAAATTGAGGGTTGTCAACTAGAACAAGATCACATGCTCCATGATAGTCAAACTTGTCACCAGTCCAGGTCTGATGATGTGAAACAGAAGAGATATATCAGTAAGTCTATTGCACACCAACCAAAATAGTCTTTGGCCTGATAATTTCTCACCTTAAAATGTGGATCACCACTTCCACTGCCTTTGTTGGGTGTTGGTGCAGGGGTAGTGGGGAGATTCCTGTCATCAGGGACTGGTGGTTGTGTAGGAGCATTGGTTGGGGTTTCTGTGGGACTGCTCATGGGGGTACCAGTTGGGACTCCTGTGGGAGCACCAGTAGGGGATCCAGTAGGATCAGGAACAGGATCAGAAGCAGAACCGGTTGGGGTACTGGTTGGAGATCCAGTTGGGGCATCAGTAGTTGGGGTAGAGACTGGTGAATCAGTGGGCAAGTTAGTGGGCAAGTTGGTGGGTGCGGCAGTGGGCTGCTCACAAACCATGTTCATGCAGGCTTCTGTGTAGAATCCCTGGATAACTCCATCAATGCACTGTGCAATGAAACTATCATGGTCAGTGCCATCACAGCAAGTTTCCTTTCCATAAGCACAATCCAAGCCTTCAAACCCACAGGGGCTGCCAGGGTCAGGCTTTTCATCTGGGCAAGTGACTGGAAGAGTAGCACTCTGTGTAGAAGTGGCAGTGGGTGCACTGGTTGGGGATTCAGTAGTGGGGGTGGAAACTGGGGATCCAGTAGGACCACTGGTGGGTGAAGCAGTGGGCTCCACACAGACCACAGACATGCAAGCATCAGTATGATGTCCCTGGACTACTCCATTGCTACACTGAACAATGAAACTATCATGTTCAGTGCCATCACAGCAAGTTTCTGTGTCATACGCACAATCCAAGCTTTCAAAGCCACACGGGCTGCCAATGTCAGGCTGCTCATCAGGACAAGTGGCCAGAAGAGTAGGGCTCTCTGTTGGAGGGTCATTGTGTGTGCCAGTTGGGGATCCCGTAGGATTGGCAACTAGAGAACCTGTGGGAGAGGCTGTGGGAGAAGGCTCTGTGGGCTCTTCATAACAGCTTGAGCCCACACAGTTGACGCAGACTTCAATGTGGCTGATGTCTGCAGTTTGGCCACCGCCATTAGCACCAGCAATAAAGCCACCACCATTGCTACTTGCATCATAGAGTGTTCCACCATGTGATCCCTTCACCTTGATAGCCACATTGGAATCACCCTCTCCGCTCCAAGAAATAGTGGCAGACTTGTCCTCATGACACTCTACTGTGAGGGTGATCTTATCAGCAATTTCACAAGATCCAGTGATCTCTCCACCAGTATCAAGAATGTATGTACCAGAGGAGCAACCAGTCATCTTCCATCCATAATCAAATCCAAGAGAAGTATCGCTTCCACCTGAGTGACACATGGGATTACCACTGTATGTTCCATATGTGACCTCAGAGGGAATGGTGTTGGCTTCACATTTATTTGTAGCCCCAGGAGTAGGAGATGGTGTTTTCGGTGCATTTGTGAATGGAGCTGGGGTCACATTCCTGTCGTCTGGGTCCACTGTGGGAGCCTCAGTGGGAGCTTCAGTGGCAGCCCCAGAAGTTGGGCTCAATGTAGGAGCATCAGTGGCTTTTGTGGGTGCATCTGTTGGGCTTTCAGTGAGAGCTGTGGTGGGTGATGCTGTGGGTCTTCCAGTTGGAGCATCAGTGGCTTTAATGGGCGAAGCTGTTGGGCTTCCAGTTGGAGCATCCGTGGCTTCAGTGGGTGAGGCTGTAGGTCCTCCCGTGGGAGCATCAGTAGCTTTGGTGGGCGAAGCTGTAGGTCCTCCAGTGGGAGCATCAGTAGCTTTGGTGGGTGAGCTGTTGGGCTTCCAGTTGGAGCATCCGTGGCTTCAGTGGGTGAGGCTGTCGGTCCTCCCGTGGGAGCATCAGTGGCTTTGGTGGGTGAAGCTGTAGGCCCTCCAGTAGGAGCATCAGTAGATTTTGTAGGTGAAGCTGTGGGTCCTCCAGTGGGAGCATCAGTGGCTTTGGTAGGTGAACTGGTCGGAGCTGGTGTAGCACATTCACAAATCCCATCAATTGTTGACAACAACGTCTCAGAGATGATGACCTGGTTGGTAATTTCACCAGTAGCATCATTGTCTGCCACCATCACCAATGGGATCATTTCAAAGGGATCATTACAGTCAGGTTCGTAGCCTTCTCCTTCATTGCGAGCTCGTTGAGCCAGGCCTTGTGAGATGCATTCAACACGGTTTGTTTCATAATGGGTACCTTCTCCATTTTCATTATCAACCAACATCCACACAGCACCTTGCATGTCCCACCAAGAAAGTGTACCTCCCACACAGTCATCAGAGGAGGGATATGTATCACCAACATTGACATTGTTGATCAACCAGGCCAAGTTGGGGAGCATTGCAGGTTTATCAATAGCATTGGAGTGGATGCTGGAATCAAAAGCACTAAACACATCCATTGAGTAGGATCCAGCTTCAATGCTCCTGCTGTAATCAATGCACCAACCAGTTGTTGTCACAGATTTACCAGCAGGAGCATATGGTGGACTGTTGAGGGAGAGGTCAAACATTCCATTACCAGCATGGGCAGTTTTCACTTCCACTTGGATTTCTTCTACTGTCTTGGCATGGTGGTGATTCACAACACAATCTTCTTCCAAACCACGATGCTTAGAGGTATTCTTCTTTTGAGACTTGTCACGGAAAGCTGACGTGCCTCCAAGAGTCAGAATGAGCAAGGATGCTGCAGCGAATTTCATGGTGTCAACAATGGGCTGATACTTCGAGTTTCCGATTGGGTTCTTTCAATTGTGAGTCAATGTTTGTAGCTTTGAAATTGTGAGATCATTCAACTTCGAGGATGGATCAGCAAAGGATTTCGATCTTGCCAGGAACACCCACGATAAAAGTCTTAAATGACTGTATTGAAGCCTTCTAAGTCATATGGCCGAACTCTAGTCGTGATTGTCGGAATTCTGAAACCACGATGTCGGAAAATGTCGGCGTTTGTACGAGAATGTCGGCGTTTGTACGAGAATGTCTGCATTTGTCGGACAATGTCTGCAAAATGTCGGAAGGTTTCCGGACATTTCAGCGAGAATTTTCCGACATTTAAAACGGATGACTTTCGCTGGTTAAGTCGTGTTCTTCACTGGTTGGTACTTTCTCTTTGATAGAACCCTAGGATTCGGAACCCTGTAAACTCATTCAACGGTCCTCTAATCGTAAATGTCGGATTTAACTCGCCGAAATGTCGGCAAAATGTCGGCAGAATGTCGGCAATGTCTGAGAATGTCGGCGTTTGTACGAGAATGTTGGAGTTTGTATGAGAATGTCTGCATTTGTCGGAAAATGTCGGGACATTGTCGGAAAACTTTCTTCTGTCATTTAGGCCATATGATTTAAGAGCAGTGCCGGTCATATATCTTTAAAAGACTTTATCGAGAGTGTTCCAGGGCTCCGTTGCTGTGCCGCTACCACCGCATGTAGCCTTCCACCTGATGAACAGAAAGGAACGCTGCTTCTAACTGGGTGGATTAAGGGCGCGACATTGAGTCAGTCATCCGAGTTGGAACCTAGAAGGGTGAAGAAATGTTTTGCTGGTTCTTTAGCTACAATCTACGTTATAGTACAATTTTCACTTACTCTTTCAAGGGGACACAAACAGAAAGCCAAAAACTCACGATCCACGATATGAGTGAGACAGTCAATGTTCTGTCAAGATCGAGTTTCACCCCTCATCAGAGTACATGTACCAGTTGAATTGAAAGCAAACTATTGATGCAAGGCAAGGGAAATGAACACAAGGATACAGCGTACGATAGTGAAACTCTACCCCAGCTCCCATACTACCATTAGCGTGCGACACCCGAGATCATGCTTCCAACTAACAACTACCAGGTAACTCTCAAGAGCTCTCTCAAGTGATGTTCCTCGTCAAGTTTCAGCTATCCATTTCTCTAGTCAAGGCCAGGTAACAGGTGCTAAGCGCGACCTGCTGCGAGCATGCCTGACGCATTGAGAGTTGTTTGCAGAACCTGCAACTCCATTCAACTCCCTCGAAGTCGGAACCTGCGTATTGTTCGTGGGCCAACGCATCAAGATTCAGATTCGAGTGCTGCCATGGGCTAGTTCTTGGAAGGGGGTCCTTCCTGCATCTTGAGTTATGCCTCCTTTAATCTTGCTCTTCAGCGCAGTTTTCTGCCTCCTCCCTTGGATCTCAGCCTTCATCACTGAGTAGATGGCTACGGTATGTCTAACTAATATTACTTCACAACTTCTGTGTTTAAGCGTCCGCAAGCAACATCCATCATTGACTATACTTGACTGGATCTCGATAGTCTCAGTTCGGCATCCGTACCACCCTCCCTTCAGCCCTCTCCTCAACTTTCACAGATCCTCTTCAGTGGTTTTAGCCTCTAAAATCAGGGTAGCATTCCTTGTCTGAAGTTTTCTTCGCCTCGTGACGGTAGCTGTGCATTTCCATTGCAATCACTGCTTGCTAGATACCGGTAGAGTCAGCGCTGTTTAGAACAGTCCACCATGAGCAGTCTTGTTGGGTGGTTGTGGTCGACGATTGATCGTTCGTCGGGAACGTTCGTGGGATATCACAGCGGGTAGGTGGGGAAAACATACTATGTTTTTTAAAATAAAAAAACCCTCCTTAATCCCTGGTGGCTTGGGCAAACGCTTGAACCGAACCATGGCCTTCCCGGAGAGACGATGAAAACTTTATCTTCGCCCGGTGGGTTGATCATCTTGCCCCGGTAGCATGATGTAGTATCTGGACATTGCAAAAAACCCACAGTCGAGTTCTCGACCACGACGATGGAGAGAACATGGATTGAACAACGAAGCGAATGTTCTTCTATAGTTCTAGCTGGCACCTCCAGGCAAAAATCCCCTTTGACGATGTGGACTGAGCCGCTTCTTATTAAACGATGTCATAAACCAAAACCAGAACTATATGAAACCAGAAACAGAAACAAGAGCAATCAAAGCAGCAACCATGAAGGTTAGTCATCACTACACGATCCTTGCCATGGCAGCAACCGCATTCGCGCAGGGAGATAGTAAGTATGGTTTGACCGAGGCAGAACTGCTGGATCATTGCACTTCGTGTTGAACTAACCCACTGTCTGATACGAATCTCCTTGGAAGCCGCGAGAAAGTTCCATATTCGCGGTCTGGCGAAGGAACGGAGGGCTCAACCACAACAAATTTGTCACTGTTCACCAACGGCAGACTGTATAACCCTTGGCATCAGTTACATTCCCATTCAGGAGCACTTGGACCACGGCGACGCAGAAGGCCCGTGTGCATGCGAAGCCCCCGGCGGCACTGAGATTACTTCCCGCTGCGGATCTATCGCTCTGGAAGGCATTCCAGGTGTGATGCAACGGGAGGTTATGAAGACCTTTGTAAAGGAAAATATCTTGGACTATGCCGTTTCGAGCGTTAGTGATGTCCCCATCGAGTACTTTGATCCAACAACAGCCAACCAAGACGCGATCATCGACGACTTTTTGGAGATTTTTTTATGATGGCCGAAAGTTTGCTCCAGACGATCTATCAGGACTTCAAGAGATCATAGATTTCGAGTCCGTGAATCGACAACGAAGTCTGACCGCAGAGGAAGAATCGCAAAATGGCTCCGCTCTTCGACCTTTGCAGGGAACCGCACCTCCTGCACCGGACACGTGTCGTGATGCGGTCTTTGGACTAGCTACCTGGTACCGATCTCATTTCACTTCTCTTCGCGGCGCTGGTGCCGAATGGCGACAAGATCGTCAGAAGTGTGGCCACTGGCAGCAAGAGTGTCCTCGGGCCGGCCTTCCAGGTGGCGTATGTTGCATCGAAGAGAAACATGTTGACCTTTTGGGGCGGAAGTCTGGTTACCTTCTTGACTACGTTGGATTGGTCTCAGCTTGAGACTGCAATCGAGAACGTCGTAAGCGAAGTTGAATGGTGGGGGTGGGTGCAATCTGGACTCAGCATCACCGCAGCATTCCTTTCCATCTACATGACAGCAGGTGCTGCCTTGGCTGTCAAGATCACGACCATGCTACCTACAGTGTATTCACTGTTTGGAAATACCATAGACTTTCTCGAAAACGATTGCTTTGGTGAAATTACGAGTTTTCCGTGCGACAACTTTCAGAATTCTGGTGGTCATGGCGTTACGACTTCACTGATCGATATGGGCCAAACTTCTGGCACATTCACGGTATCGTATCACATGCAGAGAATCAAGGATCAGATGGAAGTGTTTTACGAGGACGAAGTACTGTACACGACGGGAGGGTTGGTGTCGGGGCCTGGGCAAGCCACCGTATCTTTTGCTGGAGAGAGCCAATTGGTGACGATAGTCGTCTCGTCTCCTTATGTTGGCACGGCGTGGTCGTATGATGTAACTTGCCCCGGAGAGTAGTTGATGAAGCAATTCCCAATGAGGTGCGCTGTATTACGAGATACTAGTAGTACATCAAAAGCAGGGCATTTCGCTCTAGCCAGACGCTTTCCTCCAAGAGCAAACTAGTAGAGCCAAATCATCCACTGCAAAGCCCAGCCCATACTTAAATACCGAGGATACTCAACAACGACACCCTTCCACGCTGTTGTGTCCATTTGCTCTAACCTTGGAGCTATGCATACCGGTAGCTAGACACTAGGTACATGTACCGAGCCAGAGCTGGACACCGGTACCTTACCATACTGCGTACTGTAGGTACCGGATGGTGGCAGATACTTTACTAGCTAGCTAGCTAGAGTAGTCGAGAACAAAAACGGAACACAACAGCACAGGGGTTGGCCACGGCTTGAACCGGCGACAGATGCTGCGGAATGACACCCAGTCAGGGAAGCGTCACCTTATCCCTTGTCTACGGACTACGGATTCCTAATCGCACGCTGTAAACCGCTGCGTGCTGCTCGAGTAGTAATCCCACAACCATTCGTGGAACCTTCCTTGCTAGCTCACCCCCTGAAAGGAATCAGTACATAGTTACACGGATTGACCACAATAAATCTTAAAAATTCAAGCGATTAACCTCCAGTTTTAAGCCCTTGATATTCATTATTCACCTTGACACCTTGACCCTTGACATTGTTACAGCGGCGGTGCAGGTGCGGTGGGCTTGGACCAGCCCCGCATTAAAATTATTCAGCCATCGTTTCACCTCTCACAATCCGGAATTTCGGCCTCTGTTCACAACAAAATAGCAAGAAGGAAAATGATGGACATCCAAGACTCGCCAACACAACAGCGATCCTCGAGTTTTCCTCTGATCACCCTCCCTTTGGTATCGTCCAATGAAGAAGATGATGATAATGATGCCCTTATACCGGTGGAGACTCCTAGGGGTAGCGCCTTGAACAACAGAAGCTGTGTTCGGAGTTTGCCCTTTCTTCCCAGTCTGCCGTCCCATGGGGAGAATCGACGACGAGATTTGGGAAGTGTATTCTCCACAAGAGCACTACCCCACAGTGTCATTGCTTCAGCAGCTGTCGCTAGGGTAGAACACAGCAATCCTCCTTTGATTCCATTCCTAAGCGACGATTTTGCCTCAACTCCCGCAGACTATGCGAGCCGCCGACCACCAACTCTCCTTCGACGCCGACACCACGCCAGCTCCCCTGCGTCAAACGGCAACAACGACAACCATCTACTGGATAGCACGTTGTTTGTTAACAGGGATAATACTACCGTTCAAGATGAAGACGATGATGACATTGACTTGGAGATTGCAGCTCTCACTCACGGAACACTGTCTCTGCGTGACTCCAAGTCGCCAGAGAGGATGAACCATGCCTTGGAGGACACACTCACACCTCCTTCCATGCTGCGCCTTGCAGGAATCCTTTCCAACAGCACTCCATCGTTGTTGGGTACGACTGACAATAACAACCATGATCGGATCCACCCCTCAACCCAGCGCAGTGGCGGCAGCAACAACGCGTGGAATAGCCGTGCCACCCCAACACGACTCTTCCACAGCCAGAAGCCACTCCACTTGTCAACCCGAGGGCCACCAGTCGTCGTTCCCTTTGCTCGGGCAAGATTTGGAGAGGACTCCCGCGGCCGCCACCACGTCCTGGCTCCCATCAGTTTTCATCCCAACAGCACCAGCCCCAAGCTACCTACGGTCTAGCTAGCTAGCTGCCTTGCTAGCAGGCAACCCTCCTAGATGGCACACCAGTTTTGGCCCATTTTGTCTTTTATTCTTCTTTCTTTACACTAATAAGCTTCATCTCAGCAAGCAAACCACTGGCGGTCCTCAGCAGTCGCGGTAACGCCCACCGCGATCCAAGGATTCGCACCTTGCCAGTAGCTAGACAATCTATCTAACTTCAGACAAACTTCTTTCTACTATTAGAGTACTTCGCTCGCTGGCTGGCCGATAGCTGCGTGTCGGAACACACTTGCCGGTTTCACACACGTCTTGTTCAATACTCACGCGATGATAGCATACTACCGACCAGTAGCCCGACTCAGTAGCTTGTTGCAGCCGCCCAGGTCCTTCTTGAAGGGCTGTACCGGCTGTAGATGCATCAATCTCCAAAACAGCAAACAGCACTTCTTCCAGCGGTTCAGAAACCTCTGCCCAATACCGGTATAGCCACTGGCTACCGGTAGCCACTGCTCTTTGTATCCGCACCTCGCTCCAGCCACAACGCATGTACTGGTACATGTTCCGGTACTCGTATCATTGTAGCTACTACATGTAGGATAGCAAAGCGACAGGATGCCGAACGATGAGCCAGCAGTCCAGCAGTGGCAAACTGTGGCATGTCCTTTTCCTTGTGCTGTCGAAGCGTCACGTTCGAGATAGAGAGAATGTGCTTGCGAAGCAATTGCAGTTTGCAGGTCCCCTCACAAATGACGTTTTACGGGGATCTACAGTTTTACAAGAACAACCGGCTGCCACTGGCTCACAAAACAAATCATCACAAAATCTTTGCCAGGTCATCGATCTTTCATTTTTCTTTCGAATCGAATCTTCTGGCTAGCTATAGCCACCAACCTCTATGAACAAGGTTGTCCTCAGTGTTTCCTCTCGCAATAAAGAGGAAATGGAAATCATTTTTAAATCGGTCGAGGAGAAACAATCAAGCCTATTGTCATCTTGTTCGATTGAGTGGACTTCGTGTGATGGAACGACAGGACGAGGAAGTAGCACCCAAGACGGGTGCTGTCACCACTTTCGGGGCCAACAGAGATGCCGATTCGGAACCTGGTGAAGACATGAAGATGAAGACGAATCAAAGTTGCAAGACCAACGTTTCTTCCGTCACGCCCGTGCAGTCACCAAACCTTGCTTTGCGCCATCCACCAGTGATGTTGTCCCGTCGTCGATTGGTCCGAATGGATCATGATGACGACGACGATTATCGGATGCCTCCACGTGTTCTTTTATGCCCCGATCTGAATGTGATTTGTGGAATGAGTGGGAGAGGCGAAACATTTCTAGAACCGGAACGGCTTTACCTCAAGCGGGAGAGGAACGATGGTGCCAACTTGACGGGAGAATTTGATGATGGTGAGGATGAGCAAGCACAAGACGACTGGCGGAAGCAACAAAAGGAGTGCCCAAAGAGGGCAAGAAGAGTTTCAAATTTCAATTCGTAACTGGTCAGCGCAAGGAGGTACCAGGTATGAACATCGCAACTAAACTGCACAAACAAAATCAATAGCCAACTGTGTGGCTTGGATGGAGCTTGCTAAGTTACTAAATGTTGGTATTAGACTAGTAGAACGGGAGGCCAATACTGGTGTAATGGACTTCGTCCATTAGCTTTTGGGTTCGAGTCCGAGCTGTTCCTAACAATCGGCCGGTTCTTGCTGCTTTTGAATCAACTAGACTCTGAGGTGCCGGTTCTCATCCTCCAGATTTTGGATGTGAGTCTTGAAGAAGAATGGAAAAATCACATAAATATCCTTTGGGTAAATAGAAGCCAGCCTAAAGGAAACATGCATGTGATTGTTTCCGTTTGGCAAGGCTGAAGTTTTGGGGGCGTGCTTTACAAAGGCCAGTTTATTTCTCATCAAGTTTTTCTTTTTCTCTGAACCGTCCGCAGATTCCACCCTCCCCTGCGTGTTGCTTCAGGAGATGGACAAGAGGAAGCGTGACTGGCCTACTGGCAGAATCAGGGTAGGCCTCCAACAACATCTCCAGGATTGTAGTTTTATCCAAGAGCATCTCTAGTACACTGTACAGGCTGTGAAAGCTCCAACTCGTTGAGAATCGCTGGGAATATGGCATCTGGGTGCCACTCTTCCCCCTTATGAACTGTAGCCAAATGCAGCGGTAGCCTACCTACATTGTCAGTCCTCCAAAATCTCTTGATCTTCGTTCTCGCGTCCTCTCGGGAGCCTACCTCCACAAGAGGCTCCATTGGCACTGGCGTAACAGACATCGTTGAATCTTCGATCGTTGAAAACAGAAGGAGGAAAGAGGGCACCTCTGGCTATCATAGCTCCCACGCTCCCACGGCCCACGCCCACGACCACCATGCTCTGGTGTGGTTGTGACTGCAAGGATTCGTGACTGGGCGAACTCTGATTTTCTCTTCGACCTTTATTCTCACTTCTCACTCCACACTCCACACTCCATTGCTTCCAACGTTTCGACATGGCGGACAACAATCATGACGACAACGACGATGACGATACGACCGACGGCACCTCGGCATCCGATAGTTCTACCTGCATGACTATATCGCTGCAGAGAGATCAAGTCGTTGTGATCCCCAATCTTCCTCCTCCCACCGTCCAAGACAGCAGTGCGATCCGAGCCATCACCATCGCCATTGCGGACAACTTTGTGCAACTCACAGATGCCGGCATTCAGCGACTGGAAGATATTCTGACGAGACATGACAATCTGGAATATATCAATATAGAGCGCTTGACACATGCGGTGACGTCAATTTCACTTGGAGCCTTGATCCGGATCTTGTGGCTACCCAATCTCGCCAAATTGACCGACTTGAGAATACTGGGCGCCAATCTGTTGGGAAGTCCCGACGAATGGCAGCAGTTGGCGCATGCCATCCTTCGCGATCATTTGCAATCACTGGCATTTATCTGTATTGTGGAACCATTGACTTGGTTGTCACGCATCCCAGAGCGGGCACTGGATCCGCTGGTACGCGTCTGTGCCAACCACCCCACGCTCAAGTTTGTGGCCACCAACCTATTTAGTGGAGTTTCCTTGGCGGCCATTGATGACTTTTGTCAATCGCCACAAATCATGGGATTGCACTTGGTGGACACCGATGTATCGGGGGACCGGGTGTTTCGATTCTTTCAACAGATGCAGTCCAACTCCAAGGTATGGTTCCTCAGCATTGCCTTTGCCGAAACTGTCTCCACGGAACACGGAAAAGCTATTGCCCAATTACTATGCCACAATAGAGCCATTGCCAATCTGAGTGTCAAAAGCAAACAACCGCTACACGAAGATTTTTTGGTGGAACTACTGCAAGGCCTGGCCAAGGCACAGAAACTAGAAGAGTTTTCTCTAGAAGGATCCGGAGACGGACTCGTCATTAGCGATTCGTGTCGGGCCAGAATTGGCACCACGCTCGAAGAAAATAAAGTTCTACGCAAGCTGCAGTTGGATGGAATTCAGAGTGACACACTGAGAGAGGAAATTGATATCTTTATGAGGCTCAACCGTGCCGGTAGACGACATCTCTTGGGCTGTGACGACAAGACGACGCCGACGAGCAGGCAGGATTGGATGGATGCTCTGGGCAACCACAATACAAGGAACGACCTGAACTGCCTATACTACTTGCTTTCCAAGAATCCAGAAGTTATTTACTGCCAGGACCAACCCAAGCAGCAACAAGAAGAACCGCTACCAACAAAGAAACGAAAAGCCGACGATATATCATCGTTGGACTAGCGATCTACAGTATTTCCCTTTCATGGAAAGCGGACGGTGCCTTACTTCTCGTTTGCATGAACGCTTCATGGTATCCATTGTAGTGCACATCATTTTATTCAAAAACCAAATGGCATGATAATGCAATATTCAGTTGGCTTCGAGGGTTCGGCAGAAGCCAAGAGCCTTGCAAGACGGAGCAAGAAACGAGTGTACCGGTATGGCTGCGATCGGGCATACTTCCCATCCATTGCGGTTAGAGTGCCTCAATCCACTTCAATTCATTAGCTAGTTCAAACCGCAAATCCGTCCGGGAGTTCTACAGCCATCATGTCCGATCTCTGCCCTCGGTCCCCTTTCCGACATCGGTAGGAATTTGTACTGCGAAATTACAGTAACTAAATTTACTGAAACAACAATAGACTGCCAAATCACTATGCGTAAAACGGAGGCTTTGTGGTCGATACTTACTTCTCAACAAGATACTTTTGGTTACTTGATTGCACTCTTTTGACTTTCCAGAGGCCACCCTATCCTATGCATTTTTCTGTGCAACTTTGGGTTGTGCTGGCAGCTGCCCAAAGTTTATTCAATTGGCATCATGTCCAGTAACTTTCCAGATCCTTTCAGCTTCTAGCTAGCTAGCCACTCTCCTGGCTGCTACAAAGGCTGCAATGCCCTTCCAACAGGACAATCTGTGAAGGATGATTGATTGATTGATTGGTGCATCGATTACTGCGAATGTATAATTAACTCTCCTCCGTTGGTTGTTGTTGAGAGAGATAAACAAAAACTAAACACCATGACAACACAGCTAACACAAGCATCTACGCCGTCGACAAAGAAACTGGAAAGCGTTGTTGGGTCAATTCCAAGACACCCAACACCGTAGCCAACGACTGTCTGGAGGGCGAAATGACACTCCTGATGAGAGATGGGCAACACCCCTACTTTGAGGGAAAACAACGAAGATTTGACCTTCAAGTTCAGTTCCGACTAAAGCAGAACGCCAAGACCATGTGGTATGGAGTTGAGCTAGATGAAAGCCTTAATCTCGGAACACTGCAAAGAATGACTACAAAGGCTGCGCTTGGTTTCTGCCAGAAAATGAACCCAGGTGCTTTCCACAGCAGCATCTCCACGGATCCTTGCATGGTCTTCAAGGTTGACAACAGCATGGACCGCATTGCTCAGACTGCACCTGGTGACCTTCCACCATGTCTAGGAGAAGCTGTTGAAGAATCATCTGAGTCAATCCAAAGGCGCAAAAAGGCAGGTGTTGAGTGGAATACAAACGATACCTACACCATCTCCTGCTTTAGCTCCTACTTTGACTTCTTGACCTGGTCTATCATGAATATGCCAGGACTGCCAACTATTGATGCCACCAAATTGGTTGGAAATCAGCCCTTTCGGTTTGTCATGTACACTCTCAAGGACGAGGACGGATCCCATACTCCTGAAAACAAAGACTACATCTTCAACTTGGAGCTCAGTAACACAGAAAAAAAAAACGTAGTCTTGGCCTGTGCTCAAAGAATGGATCGGAGCAAAGGAAAAGAGAAGGAAGCTGAATCCGGGCCTCTATCAGGCGCCCAGCTCGAAAGTCCAGAGCCGGCAGGTTGTTGATGAAGGGTAGATTGTCCATGACTGGCAGATTGTCCATCGGTGGAAACAGACGCCGTTTGTCGGGCCTTTCCCTTTTCGACCATCACGCATAACATTGCACCTTTGAACACATTCAATGGCTGATCCTTCGTTTTGAACCTTCATAACACTTTGCATAAGAAATACGTAAACCACAGTTACAGTTACATGTACATCCCCATCACTTCGCCTCTGCAGACATTCGCCGTCACTATTTCTCTTGAGCAAGCGTTCAAGGTCTGGGCCCGGCGGGTGGGGGGCAACAGATCTTGTGAAGAGAGAGCCACGCACACCACAAGCAAGCTGCTAGCTAGTTAGCCAGGTAGCCAGGTTACACGAAGATGTAATGTGCAGTCAAGGAAAGTGCAATTGAGACCTTGCAAGCTCTAGAGAGATGGTAAGGGTTGCTTCCAGCACCTGATACTGTCGAGGTGCTTTGATCGATACCGGTACGGTAGTTACGATACCACCACAGTCAAGTTCAATGAAACATCAAGACTTGTAAAACTTTATTATGAGGTAGAAAATTTATTAATTATACTCGTTTGTGGGTTCCCGCCCCTTTCTGTCCCCTGTCCTGGAGATTGTTGCGTGCTGCCGTGATGGTTGTCGCACCCAAGATACCGGTACGTTCACCTCCGACGCCTAGAGTAGGCATCAGCAAAGGGCAGCCAACCGATTGATACGTGGATAGTGAGATACATGTCGATATTGATATATGCAAACTCAGGTCTCGGTGACGTGCTGTGCACGCCAAAAACTAGTAGCCTCTGTGGGCGTCGGCTTCTATCTCGTCCAGCGGGGCCTCGACTTCATCGTGGGGGTAGTATTGGACTTCGAGAAACTCGAAAATAGAAGGTTCGTCCTCCGCATGGTGGCTACTTCTCATGGTGCTTCCTTGCTGCTTCTTGCTGTGGTTGTGGTGCGTTTTTCGAGTGCGATCTTCCCGAGGAGACAACCAGCTCCTCTCCGTGACTTGTTCTGTAGCGATCATGGGAATCGCGGGAACCGTGACCCTTAGAACTGCCAGGCGAAGCATTCATATTCTTGGACGAACACGACATGGCCTCAATAGCATCGCCTTCCACGCCTATGTAAACCTTGTTGGATGTCCATTGGGTCGATTGCGAAGAGGTGGCACTTGGGATACGCCCTCTTGCTGAGGTCGTAGATCGAGCTGTTGAAGAGGGCTGTCTCCTGACAATTGACGGATTGGATTCCTGGTTCATCAGATACTCTTCCATCTCCATTTCCACTTCGTCTTCGTCGTGTTCAACATCAACATCGTCGGATGGCTCCATTTGCAGCATTTCTTTGCTGTCGTCGGCTGGTTTGAGTTTCGACTTTTTATCACTGGAAGGGATTTCAGCCATTTCGGGCTGGATTTCGGGCTCCTTTTCTGCCTTGTTCTTCTTCTTCCCGAAGCCTTGGTAGTGACTTTAGAATGCCTTTCTTCTTCTTGCGCATTACGTCTTGTCTTGCTCCCTGGTGTAGACTTGGATAGCAACCAAACACTTCTCCTTTTGCCGCTTGACCAGCAGCTGGGATGGCAGGTGCTTCATTCTCTTGTTCATTGTCTAGGCATCATCAGCATCTTCTTCTTCGACGGCATCGTGCTTTGTTGTATGACTGCGAGGAAAACGGACCGGGGACTTGGCATCCTTGGTTCTGGACTTGAAAAGACCTTTGAGCTTTGCACCGTCCGAGCTTTCTTTCTTTCGTCGGCGGGACCTACCGCGCCTCAACGCTTGGTTGTAGGGGCCATTCGAGTAGCATGATTTTTGACGGAAGTTCCAACTCTGCCCGTGACTTGATTCAATGGGCTTACCTGGTGTTGAAAATTGCTTGCCACTCACTTTCTCGCATTCTTTTCAGAGACAGAATAGTGGCTTGTTTGTCACATTCTCGGCAACTTGTTTGGACAGCTCTCGGTGCAAATCTCTAAGAATCTCCGCCTCGATGATCTTCTGGTCTTCTTCTGTGATCATGGCCCGCTTGTTCAGCTGGGCAACCTTCTCATAGAGCGATGGCGCGTCATCAGTATCTTCAGAGCTCAGGGGTTGTTGTTGAGCTGATTCTTTGCTTGATTCGGTAGATGCCTTGGAAAGCGCTTTGGATTCAGACTCCTTAGATCCAGAAGTTCCCTCAAGGATAGAATTCCCCTCAACGATGCGAGGAAGGATACCGGTATCACCACCGCCGCCGCCGTTTCCAAACTTGTCACTGGCGTAGTTTTCGTTGGCGTATTTGTCGTTGTGTTCTGACGAAAGCTTCGTCCTCATTTCAGCTTGCCAGACCTCCTTTGCCTTTTCAACAATCTTTCTTCTGTTTTCTTCTTCCTTGATCGCCAAGTCTCTGACCTTATTCCATTCCTCTTGATTACGTCGGTAGATGTCCATTTGCTTTTCCAACATCATGGACTTCTGGACCAGCTCCATGCGGCACAATTCTGCCTGGGCTTGACGGGCCAACTCCCTCTGATACACGTTGGCACTCGTTTCATGAGGATTCGGCCGAATGTGCTGATGGTTAGCTTCACGGGAAGAGAGTTGAGTCACTTGCTTAATGAGGTCTTGCTGGCGCTGAATATCCCGATGCAACTGGTTGATTTCATCCAGTTGTGCCTGCAAGGAACTGAGTGAATGCTGCGCCCCGGAAGATTCTTTGTTGGTTTTTGTTGTGATGCCAGCTCCAATAAGAGATGGCATATTCATGCTCATACTGATTGGAACATCTGGCATGGCGGGTCTAGGAGGCGGTGGCCTCGAGCCCGGATAAATCGGGTATTCATCCTCTTCATCTTCGTAGTAGTACCCGTCATCATCTTCATAGTGATCAAAACTGATGAGCTCTTTCGGAGGCTCTTCTTTCGCATTCCCATGGTTCGTATTCCCTTTCCTTTGGTCTTTTTTCTCTTTGGCCTGGTGGTTTGATTTGCGCGTGTAAGTCTTGCCCGTCTGCTCCTTCTTCTCGTAGATGCGGTCAATGATACTGGACACCGCATCCGGTTCCTTGGCACTCCTGGACGAATCTGCGGTTGACGCCCCTCCTGGGCCACACTGAATGCGCTGGGGATCCAGCATGCCCAGACGCTTGTCTTGGCCAAAGAAATGATTGTGTTCGTAGGTATCCAATGTCGGATCCGAAAAGGTATTGGAGAGCCACTGCTCGTCCACATCAATCTGGAATCCCCTTTTGTCGTCTACAACCCCATCTATTTCAGAGAAGTGTTCCATTTGCTCATCTAGATCCATCAAACTAGACTTTAGCCGTTCAGGGTCCATTCTAGGAGCTTCTAGGGCGGGTTTGGGTCTGTGCCGACTGACTTTATATTTGTTGGAGCCGGACCGCCTGGGTCTGCCTCTTTGATTGCCTCCTCCACCAGACTTGTTCATCTGATAATTCTCGTCCTGATCTTCGGGCCACTGACGGTGATGCTGAGCCGGTGTATTGGGTTCATGGTCCCGTCGCTTGGGCCCAGAAGCTTGAGACCTGGTGGATGCTTTTCGCTCCGACTTTGATTTCTTGATTGCCAGTTCAATCTTTTGGACGATATGCGCTTCTTTAGAAGCTTCGTCCATTTCGTCATAGGGAATATGTTGCTTGCGATGTTTCTTTTTGGAAGACGACCTGGGTGGTGGATGCCTTGGTGGAGCTGTATGTAAATTGACCTGGGGCTTGTCGTGGCGAGGAGTCATGGGGCCCCTGGAACGGGAGCGGGGAGTGGCGCCATCTTCTATGATTGCTGCAAGCGAATCAACTTGAGGAATCCCTCGGCGTGGGGTCATCATGGTGGTTCCTTGATAGCCATGCATTGGCAGAAGAAGATACTCCAGCATTATTTCTCGCAAGAGAGGAAAAGGGTGAAGCGAAAATCGCTGAAAAAGATAAACCAGAAGTCCGAAGTAGCCATGGCACGATGTGAAGCACTAAAGAATAGTGGAGCATTGTCGGCATCTCAACCAGAAGCTGGTAGTTCCCGTGTGGTTCGATATCATTAGACACCGATCACCGATGGCGAACCTAAAATGCTTTCCTGACCTTGTTGATTGAACAGTGCGGAATCCGAGCCAGAAGCTGCTCAATAAGATAGATAGAGCACTTCCTACGTAGTACCAGCCTCTCATTCCAAAAAGACCGATACTGGTAGCCAACAGACAATAACTGGAGTGTCGGTGGCATCAACAGAACTGACGAACCACGTTGAGCTCTTTCTCCGCACCTCTCCCTCTTCCCGCACCTCTCCCTCCGCGTCCCTCTCCCTCCGCACCTCTCGCGCTTCTCCGCACCTTTTTCGTTGCACTCCAAGTTTCAGAAGAAAAAAAGTCGGCCAACAAGAAGGAACAATGAGGTACCCTGCCCATCTCGCAAGCAACAAGACAACTCTTCACACAACACAACAAGCAAAAGGACATCCAAAAAGGATAGATACTTCAACCGAGAATTGAACTCGGGACCTACGCCGTGTTAAAGCGTCGTCATAACCAACTAGACCATCGAAGGCTTCTAATATGATGAAATATTCTAATTAT